CGGGCAGGTTTTGGCCTCTCGGGGTCCTCTTCTTTCTGGATCTTTAAATTTTTCGATTTTTGCGCGGGCCCGCCGGGCTGGGGATCTAAAAGAGGGCGCCCGGCACCCCGCGGGGCGGCTTCGTTCTGCAAGGCCAAGCCCTCCAGCGGCAGCGCCTGCACGAACCCACACAACAATCGGTGGTGCAAAAGCTGCAAAACTGCAAGACCACGCCGCACCGACGCGGCGCCTCTCCGCTCTCGCTGCACGGCAGGCTATAAGCGCGACTCTCGCGCGCGAGATCCGTCGCTCACGCGAGTGCAAATGCGCCCCTCACGCCACAGGGAATGCGTGATACTTCAATAGACAGAGCCGTGGATCACGCCCTCTAGCTCTCTCCTCACAGAGCGCCCGAGCGGCAGCAGCTCACCGTTGCCATACTTGATTCCGGGGGCGCCGGGCAGTGGCAGCGCCTTCGTGTAGATGGGCGCGCGGAACGGGTGCACGCCCACCGCATCAATGTACCAGACCACGTCTCCTCTGCTAGTCGACGCATGCGGGCCGTGCACCCCGCATCTACGGCCGCAGGCCGACTGGCTGCTTGAAGGGGGGGTGGAGCCGCGTGCTGTCTGTCTGCAAAATATTTGCGTTGGATGACGCCGATTTTGGATTTGTTGGGGTATGGGACAATCACCGGCAGACGTCCTCTTTTACCCTCGGCCCCAGTGGGGGGCGCCCACGCCGCCTAGCTCTGCGGGTGGGCCCCTCCACCCTTCACGTACGGATCATGTAGTCCCCTGTCGGTGATTTAGGCTCCGCGAGCGAGCAAAAGCCAAAATCCGGGCTGCGGGCAGAACATCCATTACTACGTACACATGCTCTACGTGCAACGTGGGCGCCACCACCTAGCCCAGAAACAAGCAGGCAGAAACCGGCAAGCAACTACATGGCGGGACGCTGCACAAGAACCATCTACGCGGACTACGTCTACGACGCCGGGTGAGAGGCGCCACCCACCACCCCGGCCGGTCGGTCCCCGCTACATGCACATGCAACCACGGTGGATGGCGCCGAGGCCCTCTTGCGCCAGCCCCAATCCCCTCATAGACCCAGCCGCACGCCCAGCCGCACGGGTCCTTGCCCCCCGCGCACGGGTCCTCGTCCCCCGCGCACGGGTCCTCGTCCCCCGCGCACGGGTCCTCGTCCCCCGCGCGCGCGTTTCTCGTCGCAGGCCTTGGTGCATATCGTGTCCGCCTACAGGTAAGCTTGTGTATTCGGGGCGGGGGGTACCCGTCCAGCGCAGGGGAGGGCACCAGGGAACCAGCCTCACTCCCCGTTGTTGTAAGTGAGACACTCGACGTTGTTCGCCGGCGCCTTGTTCGTGCGCGTGGCGGCCGAACCGCACACCTTGCAGAGCGAATACACCTTGTGGAGGCGAAGAAGCTCGACGGCTTGGCAGCCACGCCACGCCTCGCAGAGCTGTCGGCACGCAAAGCGCGCGACGCCGTAGTCACCCTTGTGAAATTCGCGGCCAAGCTCCTTGCACTTGCTGCCGTTGTCGTCAGCGCAGAAGCCCTGGCGGAGTGTAAAGCCGAAAGGGGCCACCGACGGCGACGCGGACGGTAGCGGCGCAGGCGAGGCGGAGGGAGGCGGCGGCGAGGGGGGCGGCGGCGACGGCGGCGGCGGCGAGGGGGGGGGCGGCGAGGGGGGCGGCGGCGAGGGGGGCGGCGCCCACGGCGGCGGCGGCGAGGGGGGCGGCGGTGAGTACGGCGGATACGGAGGCGAGATGGGTGGCGACGGTGATGCCGCCAGCACGCCCGGCACGCACCCATTTGTGGCTGGTGGTGCCGGGGGCGGGCAGAAGCCCTGGCTGATGCACGACGCGTCTGCGGATGGACCCCATGCGCATTCCCCCTCGGTTAGCGGGCTGCAGCCATCGGCCGACGCGACTGCAAAGATGTCGGCGAGAGTTGTGTCGCCAGGGCCACAGGTGGGTTGCGTCATGCCGTACTGCGTCATGTCGATCGCAGTGTCACATCCAATAGAGCAGCAGTAGCTTGGCACGGTGGCGCGGTCGCAGTGGCTTCCGAGCGCAAGGCCCGGAAGGAGAAGGTAGCCGAGGACGCGCATCATGGAAGCCTGATGATGCGTTTCTGGTCGACGGCGGTCAAATTTCACGATTGTCGATCAAAACCGGCGGGCTTTGTGACGCCGTTTACGCAATCGTTTTTTGGCTTCGCTTTCTCTTTTGCTTGTTTTTATTTCGTTTTTCTTTTACGAAGCGACGGAGGCGGGGCGGGCGGGCGCTAACTACGGGCAACTACATGTCGAAGGTTCGAGGTCGACTACTCGCCGCCTGGGTCGTTTGGGGCGCGCGGCTCCGTCGAGGACCGGGCGCGCCCCTTTCCCGGCGCGGCGTAGGTCCCACTCTGACGTATAGAGGGGAGGCACGGACAACGGCCCAATTCATCAATTCCACTCATCTTCTGGTGCCTAGCCCCGTCGCAGCGGCGGTCCGGCAGGCTGCCCCCAAGGCCCCCTGGGCCGCTGCGGGTTTTGGAGTTATGCTTTGGCACAGCTTCGGCGATGGCGGCCCCTCTCTGGGGCTTGCATAGGCGGGGAGTCTCCCTCGCTGGTCTCCTCATTGCCTTTTCGCGAGTTTCCAGAATGGAGCACCAAACACCCTCTGTTTTCCCTGGAAATTTCCGGAAACGCAAAGTGCTGGGGACCCTCTGTTTTCCTTTACTGTTGTTCATCTTTCTACATACATACATACCGCACAGGTTCGACACAGGTACCAAAAGAGGCACAGTCAGAGAAGAATTTTCCGTAGATGCCGATCATCTGGCTGGCTGGGTGCCGTGCTTAGGCTGAACAAGCTTTTCCTCTCGCACCCCGTCTGTTATCCTTTCCTTTTTCCTCTCGCACCCCGTCTGTTTTCCTTTCCTTTTCCTTGTGCTAAGAAGGCTGGTACAACTAGATCTAACCCTAACCCTCCTACCGGATGGTAATTCACATGGTTGCAATTAAAGCATCCTTGGCCACTCCGCCTCCCAGCAATCACGCGCCATTTTGGCTGCGTTCCAGCCAGCGCAGCCATCCTCCGGCCGATGGCTGATGGCTGTGTCCCAGCCATCCGCCCGGCCGCAAGATGGCTGCCATACATGAAAATTCCGGCGTGAGAGAGGGGAAAACCCGAGGGGAGGGCCCAGACCCTACCCTACCTACCCCGGCATGATGCCCGGCCAAGCACTCGAGGAAGCTGCCGGGGGAGAGGGGGGGAGAGAGGAGAGGAGGAGAGGGGAGAGGATGAGAAGAGGAGAGGAGAGGAGAGGAGAGAGGAGGAGAGAGGAGAGAGGAGGAGGGGGAGAGGAGAGAAGAGGGGGGGGGGATGAGAGGGAGAGAGGGAGGGAGGGAGGGAGGGAGGAGAGAGAGAGAGGAGAGCCTTTGAGCCTTGGCACCAGCCAGGCAGTTGATTTGGCCCTGGCACCAGCCTTGGCAGTTGAGTTGGCCTTGGCACCAGCCTTGGCGGGCGGGCACGCGGGACATGCACAAGCGCCAAGGGGCGCAGCGCCGACAATCACGGCGGTGATTGCGGCGCAGGTGGGGGGACGGGAAGTCCGTCGGCGTTGCCGGGGGCCCAAGGAAGCGCGAGGGAAAAATTCCGCCGCTGAGGGCGCTCGTGCGGCAATAGCCGGGTGGAGGGGGAGCGTGCCGGACGGGGCGTCGTCGCGCCGTCCGATGGTCTGCTGCCCCGCGCAGCAACCGTCGGGCGACGACCCGGGGGCCAAAAACCCGGCGACGACGGCGCTCTGGATGGGGCGTGACCTCCTGCCTCCAACCTCCTTCCTTTTTGAGCAGGTGTGACGCCGCGCGAGCGACGCTCCGAGATCGCCCGAGATAGCGCGGCGCGGCCCCGAGATCGCCCGAGATAGCGCGAGATCGCCCGAGATCGCGCGGCGCGGCCCCGAGATCGCCCGAGATAGCGCGAGATCGCCCGAGATAGCGCGGCGCGGCCCCGAGATCGCCCGAGATAGCGCGAGATCGCCCGAGATCGCGCGGCGCGGCCCGGGGCGGGGAGGATGGGTTGGGAGCGAGGGGGCGAAAGTGTTCAGTGCGGTAGATGGTAAGCTCGAGGCGCGTGAGCCGGACTTGGGAGCCGGACCACCCCCTCTTGTTATCTGCGTTGTTGAGCCAGGACTCAACATACTCGGGCTTGCTCATCCCAAACTGTCACTCCCCTTTCTCCCGGCCGAGGTGGGGCGCGCGCGGGGGCGGCGGGTGTGCGGCGGGTGTGCGGGACGTCTGTGGGCCCGAGAGCGATATGCCGTGTCCGCCTTGCGTTTGTTTCATAACATCGAAGGCTAAGCTCAAAATAAAATACACCTGATTAACAACGAAGTCTAAACAAAGAAAACAGATGCAAACGAGCGCCGCTACCTCGGCCTCCCCAGTCGACACCAGACACGCCGCCGCCCGCCCGCCTCCTCGACCTCCCCACGGACCTCCTCCTGCGCGCCATCTCTCGCCTCGACGGCCCCCTCGACATCGCTCGCGTCGCGGCCGTCTCGCTGCTCTTCCACGCCTCGCTGGCGCTGGAGGGCATCCGCTTGTGGGCGCAAGAGCGCGGCTTCGAGCTGCCGGCGCAGCCAGAGGGCGAGAGCTGCGCCGTGCGGTGGGTGTGCTTTATGGCGCTGCTGCGCGAGTCCAACCCGCCGGCGAGGGCGGCTGCAGGCACTTATCACAGCCTCTTCATCGACGGCGAGGGGCAGCTCTCGTCGTGCGGCTGTGCGGAGCACATTCCAGTCCTGCTCGGCCACGGCGAGGGCGTGACGCGGCTCAACACGCCGACGCGCCTCCCGTCGACGCTGGCTGGCGAGCGCGCCGTGCGCGTGTCGGCTGGCGCTGCGCACAGCCTCGCCATCACTGCCAGCGGCGCTGTCTGGAGCTGGGGCCGGGGAGCCTGTGGCCGGCTGGGCCACGGCGACGAGGAGGGCCAGTGCCAGCCAAAGAAGATTGAGGCCTTTGCTGGCCAGCGCGTTGTCGCTGTGTCGGCGGGAGAAATGCACGTCCTCGCCATCACCGCTGACGGCGCCGTCTGGAGCTGGGGCAATGGAACCTATGGCAAGCTGGGCCACGGCGACCAGCAGAACCAGCTGCTGCCGAAGAAGGTCGAGGACTTTGCAGGTCGTTGCGTCGTCGCCGTGTCGGCGGGAGAGGACCACAGCCTCGCCCTCGCCGCCGACGTCGCCGTCTGGAGCTGGGGCCAGGGAGCCTGGGGCAAGCTGGGCCACGGCGACGAGCAGAACCAGCTGCTGCCGAAGAAGGTGGAGGCCTTTGCTGATCAGCTTGTCGTCGCCGTGTCGGCTGGAGCCATCCACAGCACCGCCCTTACCGCCGACGGCGCGGTCTGGAGCTGGGGCGGTGGAGCCGATGGCCGGCTGGGCCACGGCGACGAGCAAAACCAGCTGCTGCCGAAGAAGATCGAGGCCTTGGCGGCTGATCCGCGCGTCGTCGCTGTGTCGGCGGGCGAGCAGCACAGCCTCGCCATCACCGCCGGCGCTATCTGGAGCTGGGGCTTTGGAGGCGCGGGGCGGTTGGGCCACGGCGACGAGCAGGACCAGCTGCTGCCCATGAAGGTCGAGGCGCTGGCGGGCCAGCGCGTTGTCGCTGTGTCGGCTGGATACGACCACAGCATCGCCGCCACCGCTGACGGCGCCGTCTTTGCCTGGGGCGAGGGCGACGATGGCAGCTTAGGCCACGGGGAGGACGTGTCGCACCAGCTGCTGCCCAAGAAGATCGAGGTGTGGTCGCGGGATTGAGAGGTCGCGGGGTATCGTGTGGACGCCTTGCAGTTGCACCTGATGCATGATCATGCATGTGCCGTGGGGCCCTCTTGTCCGTGTGAGAGTTCGTCGGGTGTACGGTCTATGGTATAGCCAAAAAGCTCTCACCAACCGCATGGTCATCCATGTGTGCGGGACGCCGACACGAGAACCGCGACTCGAAACGAAGCACGACGCGCGCGCGGTGCGCCGGTGGGACCCTCCTGTCGCACTCCTCTTGCGTGCGGCGGGGGCGGCGGGTGTGCGGGATGTCCGGGGGCCCGAGAGTGATGCGTGTCATGTGTGCTGTGGGTTTTGGATTTGTTGGGGTATGGTACAATCGCGGATGACTCATCGGGCGTCTGCCACCACGGCCTTGTCCATCCACGCGAGCACCTCTGCGGCGAGGCGCGGCGGCGGCACGTCGTGGCCGCCCCCGTGCCAGAGAGTGGCCGAGGCGGGGTGCGTGAAGCAGGCGGCGACGGCCTCGCCCAGCTCGGGCGGGTTGATCGAGTCCACCTACGGGAGCGCCGCCGGGTGCAGCGAGGGAGGAGCCGGGGCGATGCGCAGACGGGACGAGGGGAGGAGGAGCAGAGTCACGCTACAGCCTAGGTGCGGCCGAGGTGCAGCCGAGGTGCGGCCGAGGTGCAGCCGAGGTGCAACCGAGGTGCAACAGCAGGGAGATGCAGCCGAGAGAACAGCCGAGACTTGCAGCCGAGACTTGCAGTCGAGGCGCCGCAGCCGAGATGGCGTGGCGGGCCCGCGCCTCGGACAGGCAGTGCAGCGTCGGAAGCGCGGCCGCCGCCTCTGGCGCCGCCCGCAGCCGCTCCAGAAGGGGCTCGTAGGGCTTTGGTACGGCGGCGGCGCAGATGACCGCGAAGCGCAGCAATGGGCAGCTCTCGCGGAGCGAGGCCCTCGCCGCGACGATTGCCGCCAGCATTGCGCCCTGTGAGAAGCCGAGCAGGCCAACGTAGCCGCCCGACTCGAGCTCGGCCTCGACCGCAGCGATGCTCTGCTCCGCGCCCTCGTAAGAGGAGGCCGTGAAGGATCGCTCGCCCGCCGAGTACGTCCACCACGTTCGCCGCCCCGACGGCGCGTCGATCGCATGAAATGACCGGGCCGTTCCCTCTTGCAGATGCGCGAGCCGAGCGAGGAACGCGTCGCCGCTGCCGCCGCTGCCGTGAAGGCACAGGATGCGGTGTCCCGAGGACGCGGACATGATAGCGGAGAGGAGGAAAAGGCGCAGCGGTGCGGCCAGAGGGCCGATGGGCATCAGCAGTGTGCGTGTGCTTGCACACTCTCGTCTCGTTGATGTCAGGGTTCCGGCTCCTACCCAGATAGGGGATTCTCCACTCGCGCCAAAACGCCCTACCTACCTACCTATCCCCAGGCCGCGCAGCGAAGCGAAAAAAGATGAAAATAGGGGGTACCTACCTATTGCAGGGCCCTTTTGGGCGAAACAAGACCAACCTACCACTGGTTGGGTAGTAGTTAGGGTGCCCACAGGGCCCAAAAAAAGAAAAGAAAAAACGGGCCACCCCAGATCGCAGCACTTCGTGTTGGAGAGTCGAGATATTGAGAGTGTGACTAGGAGGGTGGGACGCTGGGGAGCTTCTCAAAGGTAACCCTTGGAATGGCCGGATCCAGCGCGCGCGCTTCGCGCACAGCACCGCCTGTTCTCCGCGGCTGTGTGACGACGCGTGCCGTGTACCAGCAGAGTTGGGCGCGCGCGGCGCGACGGCGCCCGCGAGGGGAGGCGCGGGTGCAGCGTGCGGCCGCCGGCGGCCGTACCGCCCGCCAGCCGGCGCAGCAGCGGCCAGCGCAGCGGCCGCCGGCGCAGCAGCCAGAGCAGCCGGTGCGCGCCTTGCGAGGCGAGTACTGCCGTCCGGCAGCCTTGAGGCGGCCGGGCGTCAGTACTCGTTCGAACTTTGCGAGCCGTGCGCGCGCCGAGGCACCCGCGGCGCGCGCCCGCCCGGCTGCCAGTAGGAGGCGGCGCAATATGGCCTATAGTACAGCCCTTAGGAGGAGGAAGAGGCTGGCTGGCAGTGCTGTATGCCGCCGAGGGGTAGTTTTGGGGTGCTGTCCCCATCCCAGGGGGCTGCAGAACGCGTCCGCAGCCGGGACAACCCGCCCCCCCAGCCGAGGCCGGTCGAAGCCCACTTGGAGGCAGCCATGAGGAGTCCTCTTGGTGCTCATGGCGGCCGTTTGAACCTCGGGCGCGCGCCGATGAGGGGGGGGGGGGGGGTCTTGCTTGCTCCACACCGAGCGCCATCGGTCCGGACCGGTGCTTGCACCGAGGGTCGGCTTGCACAAGGTCTGAGCCGCGGGCGCTCGGCGCCAAGTGCAGTGTCACGCTCGCACGCGAAGGGGACACAATGGGAAACCCTCGTTTCCTATGTACTCGGTCCCCCAACGGAAGAGGCCTCGCTCCTATTGGAACACTCCCTCCAACATCAGATTTGCCGCGTGCGTCCCTTTTTGAGACGGGAAGCTATTTTCTTTGGGTCCTGTGGGCACCCTATAGTAGTCTAAGTAAGTTCTGAGCCTGGAGGCCTAACGGGTCTAAGTGTGGCTAGCCACGTTGGAGTGCTTGCGCGGTCTAAGATCAGCGGGAGCCTCTTACATCGGCTAAGTCGGCCGTGGACGGCCTGGGGCCAAGAGGCTCCCACCGTGATCAACGTACACTTAAGACACGCATAGCGGCAGCACATGGTACGTTGCGCGTACTTGAGCAGGCGTTGCGCGCCGCAAGTAGCGCACTGGCCCTGGGAGAAGGCGATATGGCGTCGTGCGCGGCATACGTTGGTCGGGACCGTCCAGGTATTTTTCGTTCGGGTAAACCTGAATGAAGGCTTTTCAGGTATACCCGGGTTTTACCCGGAGTTGGCCTTATGTCGTCTAAGTTCATGGGACATGGCCCCCGACCATACAGCGTCTAAGTCTGAGCCCGGCTCCGCGCGGGGGCTAAGTTGAGCGCTCGCTCGCTGCAGAGGCTAAGTGTAGAGCGACCCTCTAGCCCTACTACCCAACCATTAACCTACCTACCTATCTGGGAGGGGCCAGCCAGTGTGGACAGACCCCCTATCCGGCTAGGAGCCCGGGCCCAGAGAGGGATGTTCGGTCGCGATTCCCGCTCGACTCAAGGCGACAACTTTCCGATGTGGGTTCAAAATTTTGGTGGTATGAGGAAAAGTGTTCAAACCCATACTTCAAGCCAAGGTACCTTTTACCCCCCAGCGCCGCGTCGGCCTATCACGGCTCTGTACGGCCGTACCAGTTACCGCGTAGGCGTACGGCGCCGTGCTGTCTCCTTTTGTAACGCGCTGTGCTGAAAAATGCAACGCGCGCTCTGTGACAGGCATGTGTGTGCGCGCAGACCGCGGCATCGACCCGCAGAGGCCAGAGCATGACCAGACACAGACACAGACGACAGAGCCCAGTCCGAGAGTGCTTAAAGCGAAGTCCAGACAGGCCGAGCGAGAGTCCACGAGACGCGCCCCCGCCTGGCCGCAGGGAGAGAGTACGCGCGGCCACCGCCACGGCCAACAGTGGGGAGCGAATGCACGCCCCCGCCTGGCCAGAGGGGGGGGGAGGGGGTCCGTGATAGAAGGAGCGGGAGAGGGTCCGTGAAGGGACGCCGCGTGCAAAAAGCAGCGGCGCGCGCGAGGCGGTGAGGGCCTCGCCTTTTTGCTTTTGGCGGCCGTCCCGGCGAGGGGAGCACTTGGAGTGGATGAGGGGTTTCTTCTTTCCCCCACCTCACTGCCCCGGCGTCCACGCCTCGATCTTCTGGGCAGCAGCTGATTCGACAGGTCATCTCCGTGGCCTAGGCATTTGCCCTCGCCCTTGCCCCAGGTAAAGACGGCGCCGCCCCCGGCGGTAATGGCAAGGCATCATATAGAGAGCGATACGGAAAAAATGTCATTTTTTCTATAATTCTTTCAGATAATTTTCTGAGAAAATTCCATCGCTATCGCTTCATCATATCCACGTGTATATCTCCTGGTATCTCCCGGTATCTCCCGGTATCCCGCCATATCCCGCCATATCCCGCCGCGGATACCGCGAAAAGAATCGTCCAGACCAGGGATTCTCTTCATGAAGGGCGGTCGAGCGAGAGGGCGAGCGGGGGCCAGGTGTGCGGGCGCGCCGGAGGAATCCCGACGCGAGGATCAACCACCATCAGTGCTACGAGCATGGCACGACTGTGCGGTGTGGGCGCGCCTGCGCCATCGCCTCGGCCAGCTCCGTCTCGAGCAGAAGAAAAAACAACCCCGCACACAGGTTCGACACGCAGTCAGGCTCGGACTGGACACCGGCGGGCGGTGGACGCTAGACGAGCTAGCAGCTGCAGGCTCGGCCAGGTAGGAGGTAAGGTAAGGTAAGGTAAACGTCTCCACACACACAAAGTGGTGGGGCAAGGGGGGGCGACCCTCGCATCTCCACGCCCGGGACACGGGCAGGAGCCCCACGGCATTCAAAGTGCAAGCACCGGCCCGGTGCCGTGGGTGAGCAGCCTGCACCCCACTCCTACTCCTATAGCTATAACACAACCCCCACAGCGTGGTCGTCTAGGTAGGAGTTGGGGCACGTCTCGCTCGTTCCTTACACCAGCTCATGCGCTCCGCCGCGACGCTCTCCAAAACCCGGCGCAACCGCCACCGGGTACCCGCAACTCGTACGTCCCGCCGGGCGGGAGCTACACCTCTGCTGCGACACCCACGCCGCATATGCCATATCGGCCTACATATCGCTGTCTTGCCGCGTCCGTTGCCCGCAGCCGTCCTCGCTTCCGTGCATAGAAGGAGGTAAAACCACGGTGTACCAGCGCTGACCGCTGAGTCCGCGCTTGGTCACATCTCGGCCCCGAGGTCAGATCCTTCTACTCTGTTGACGACAAGACTTGTCTACTCGCTGGAGCCGAGCAGGAGGGCCCAGCGCACAACCCCTGGTCAACTCACCCTCCACACCCCGTACCAGAGGGAACTCCCCCCCCAGCCCCACACACCACACACGCACCCTCCGCCGCGCCGAGCACGTCCTGCAGCAGCAGGCGGGCGGCGGCGGCGTGGCCCCAGTGCTGACGGCGGGCGCTGTGCCGGCCCGGCCCGAGGGCGAGCCGGGTGGTCCACGTCTCGTCCCACAGCAGGAGGCGCAGCCCGGGCGGCGCCGCCTCTCTCAGCCTCTCCGCCGCCGCCTCGACAAGCTCGCACTCTCGCGAGCGGCGGCCGTCGGCGAGGTACGGCATGCCGAGCACGACCCCTCCGGCGTCGAGCTCCGCCGCCAGCGAGCAGATCGCCGCGGCCTGCGTCGCGAAGCGGGACGGGCCGCTGCTCTCCCGCAGCTCGCGCGAGATCACCCACGCGTCGGCGCCGGGCGGCTGCGGCGGCGCGCCCGGAGGCTGCCACCTCCGCCTCCGCTCCAGGACGCCGACGCGCTGGACGCCGAGGAGTGGCGAGGTGCGCGCGGCCAGCCCGCAGTAGCGCGCGCCCATGTCCACGGCCAGCACCCGCTCCACGCCGATGAAGTGGGAGAGAGCGCTGCTGCTACAAGAGGCCATATATGTGTGTATGTGTGTGTGTGTGTAGTTGTGTGCTGCCGCGCCATTTCTTTTCTGCCAAGGAGCCAGGAGCGCCAGTCCCTTTCCCAGTGTCGTGCGAGGGAGCTGTGTTGTGAAATTCTGAAGTTGGCGCAAAACCACTTTCTTAAAAGAATACACCGTTTCAACACAAAGAAAATTTCCTTCCGCTGCTGTGAAGAGAGATATGAGATGACTCATAGCTCTCTCTCTCTCTCATAGGAGACAGGTATGACGCACCCACACATCCACGACATACGCGCTGAAGACGTGAGGGCCGTGGGGCGTGCGTAGCTGCGAGTGGGCGGGCTTGAGCCGCGGGAGCCATTTCTTGTGTGGGGACCTCCGCCATCGGCAGTCGCTACGTCCTCCGATTACCCCCCCCCCCCCCCTCCCCCGCCCCGCCCCGCCCCTCGAGGCGACGAATCTTCGTCTCCTCTCGATCGACGCGCTAGCCCATCGCGTCACGGCTCGCCGGCACCGGCGACTCGGCGCGACTGTCTGGCGGCGTCGGCAGCGCTGCCCGAATGGCCTGCGCCTGCTCCGCCGTCGTGGCGGCGAGCGCCGCCGCCTTCCTCACGCCTTCGTGCGCCCGGAGGGGCGGCGGGGAGGGGGGAGGCCCTCCCGCAGGAGACCAGTCCGCCGGCGAAGGACTAGCGCGAGCCGCGAGCCGTGACGCCAACGACGAGACACCGGCGGCGGCGGAGCGGCGGGAGACGACGGCGGCGACGGACGGCAGCGGGTCCTCCGGCTCCTCCAGCAGAAGGTCGATGCTGAGGCGCGGCGTCATCGCCGCGACCTGCGGCTGATCGGGGCTGAGCTCGGCTGCTCTCGGCGAATCTCGGCGAATCTGACTCGGCTTCTCTCGGCTACTCTCGGCTACGCTCGGCGTTCCTACTTGATCTACCGGCTACGCTCGGCTTCTCTCGGCTTCTCTCGGTTACGCTCGGCTTCTCTCGGCTCCTCTCGGCTTCTCTCGGCCTCTCTCGGCTTCTCTCGGCTTCTCTCGGCCTCTCTCGGCTTCTCTCGGCTTCTCTCGGCGCCTCTGCGCTGGTGAGCTCGTCGAAGAGCCTCTGCCCGCGGCTGACCTCGGCCAGCGCCTTCTCTGCCGAGGAGAGGCTGTGCCTCCGTGCGCGCTCGAGCAAGCCTGCGACGGGCGAGCCCTCCGCCACTCGCCCCGCCTCCTCCAGCGCTCGCTCCGCGGCCACCCCGGCACGGTCTTTTTCGATGCCAACGATGGAATTCACCCGCCTCTGGCTCGCGTCGCCGTCCAGCTCCAGCCACGGCCCGTCCACGCTGCCGTCGGGCCGGATCCGCACCGAGGACGGGCGCGGGCTGGCCGGCGACGCAGGCCGCGGGCTCGCCTTAAAGGGTGAATCACGGGTGAACCAGGGGTGAAGTGGCTGGCCGGCGACGCAGGCCACGGGCTCGCCGGCGGTCGGGGGGAGGAGGAGGAGGAGTTGCGTGGCCGGACGGCGGGGGCGGAGGAGGAGGAGGAGGGCGGTGGATCGCCTGAGGGGAGGGGGAGGGGGGGGGGGGGGCAGGTAAAGAGAGCCCCTGGACCCCCCCTCTCCCCATTCCAGGCGTGAAGGGAAGGGGAGGGGGGAGGGGGGCATGTTTGCCCCCAGCGCTGTGCCTCTCTCAACAGACAAGAGTCGAGCGCGTCGCGAGCCGTCTCTCGCAACGAATCTCGCAGTTGAGAGGAGGGGCGGAAGCGGACGGTCGACGGCGGGCGGCGGCGCGCCCATTCTCCACGCGATGTGGCGAAGGAGGGAGCGAGGCGTGGAGCGAGGCGTCGCCGCCGCCTCCTCGCCTCCCCACCCCTCGCCGCTGCGATGCACGCCGAGCAGCTGCGACTGCCCGCCCAGCCACTCGCCTGCCCACGCCGCCGAGGCACAGCCGAGATACAGCCGAGAGATAGCCGAGATACAGCCGAGAGAGAGATAGCCGACGGAGAGATAGCGGAGAGAAAGCCGAGAGAAAGCCGAGAGAAAGCCGAGAGATCGTAGCCGATAGACAGCCGAGAGAGATAGCCAAGAGAGATAGCCGAGAGATAGCCGCGAGAGACAGCCTTAGCTCACCTGCCCACGCCGCCGCGGCGCGCGCCGCGTCTGCGCCCGTGCCAACCACCCCCCGAATCGCCTCCACCGCCGCCTTGACGCGCTCGCTCCCCGGAACTGCGCCAGGCGTCGCCGTGCTATGCCCCGTGTCGGCAGACGGGTCGTTCTCGATCTCGACCACGATCTCGGCCTGCGCATGCGTCTCCCTCGCCGCCTGCATAGCCGCGCGCCCGCCGCCGCGCCCGCCGCCGTTGCCGCCGCCGTTGCCGCCGCCGTTGGTGGCGCCGTCTGCCGTCAGCTGGTGCTTGAGACGCCGCTGCGCGGCCCGCCGCATGAGGGCGGGCAGGGCGGCGAAGAGGCCGGCGGCGCCTAGTAGGAAAGCGACTCTAGCTCTAAGTTTTAGTCTAAGGTCGGACTGAGAGCCTGCCCCCTCCCTCTCTCCACGCCCAAGGGACGGTCTGGCGACAGAGTGGGGCGTCATCCTCCCACCAAGTCGTCGCACTCGCGCCGATCAGGCGTGTGCAGCGTGTGTGTGGTGGTGGCGGTCGCCCGACGCGGGCTGTGGAGGGGGAGGGGTGTGGTGGGTGTGCAGTGGGTCCGATCTTCGGAATTCCGAACACAAGGCTGTGCTGTGCCCCCTCCTACTCCGCGCGCCTGCGAGGAGGATCGTGGCAGGCAGCGCCTCCTCCACCGCCTGTGCCGCTAGCTCGAGGAGGGGCGGG